AAGTAGGGACAAGATAAAGAAAAAGAATAAAAGAAAAGACAAGGTCAAACAAAAAAAGAGAATATGAAAAAAAACCTTTTAAAAAAGAAAAACAATAGAAAGAAAATTCCTTTTATATTAAGATAAAGAAAAGAATTAAAGTTAAATAAATAAAAAAGACACAAATATTGCTGAATGTAAGAGAATAAGATTTAAAATAAAAGAGAGAGAACAAAAAAAGAAATTGGTTCAAGAAGACACAAGTTAACTGATTGTTATTTTGAAATATAGAAAGAAAAAGGGGTTATAAATGAGAGAGAATAAAAAAAGAAAAAGAAAGAAAAGAAGATGAATAAAAAAGAAAAAATAAATGAGACAAGATAAAATTGTCAATAAAAAAACAAAGAACAAGGGGTTGCTGAGTGTTAGAGAATATGAGAAAAAAATTTTTTTAGAAAAGAAAAAGAACAATAAAAGAAGAGAAATTAAGAAGAGACAAGATAAAGATTGTTATAAAGTAATAAACGAACAAAGACACAAGGGGACATGAGTGTTAGAGAATATGAGAAAAAAAAACCTTATAAAAAGAGAAAGAACAAAAAAGAAGAGAAATTAAGAAGAGACAAGATAAAGAAATTAAAATAAAAGTAATAAAGCCACAAAAGACACAAGGGGTTGCTGAGTGTTAGAGAAATGAGAAAGAAAAAGATTTATAAAAGAGAGAAATAGAAGAAAAGAAAAGAAATTAAGAAGAGACAAGAAAAGATTATAAAGTAATAAAAGAACAAAGACACAATTTGCCAAAAAAATATTTAGAGAATATGAAAGAAAGAAAATGAGAAAAGAGAAAAAAATAAAAGAAGAGAAATTAAGAAGAACAAATAAAAGATTGTTATAAAAAATAAATTATAAAGAAAAATTTTTTGCTTGTTAGAGAATATGAAAAAAAAACCACAATTAAGGAGAAAGAACAATAAAAGAAGAGAAAATTAATAGAGACAAGATAAAAGAATTGTTATAAATTTAATAAAGCCACAAAAGACACAAGGGGTTGCTGAGTGTTAAAGAGAATATGAGAAAGAGAAAGAATAAAGAGAGATTACAATAAAAAAGAGAAATTTAAAAAGATACAAGAAAAAGATTGTTATCAAATAAAGCCACAAAACACAAGGGGTTGCTGAGTGTTAGAGAATATGAAAAAAAAAACCTTATTAAGGAGAAAGAACAAAAAAAAAGAAAAAGAAAGACAAGATTTCTATTTATAAAGTAATAAAGCCACAAAGACACAAGGGGTTGCTGAGTGTTAGAGAATATGAGAAAAAAACCTTATTAAAGAGAGAGAACAATAAAAGAAAAGAAATTAAGAAGAGACAAGATAAAGATTGTTATAAAGTAATAAAGCCACAAAGACACAAGCAAAGCACAGATATGTTAGAAAATAAAAGAAAGAAAACCTTATTAAGGAGAGAAAAGAATAAAAGAAGAGAAATTAAGAAGAGACAAGATAAAGATTGTTATAAAGTAATAAAGCCACAAAGACACAAGGGGTTGCTGTGTGTTAGACAATATGAGAAAGAAAAACACTATTAAGGAGTGAGAATAATAAAAAAAGAGAAATTAAGAAGAGAGAAGATAAAGATTGTGATGAACAAATAAAACCAATAAGCCACATGGCGTTGGAGAATAGGAGAGAAAGAAAAAATACTATTAAGGAGAAGCCACAATAAAAGAACAATAATTAAGAAGACAGATGAAAACGATTGACATTGCACTCCCATTTTTTAAGATCAAAGTTCACCGGAAAGCACAAATCCGAAAGAGAGTTCCACAAACGAGAAATGTGATCGAAGAAACTATTAGCATAGAACTTATCCATTTTAACTCTAAAATGATTAGTCATAACCGCCAATCTAGTACTGCGCTCAATTTCACAAAATCAAGGTACCATAGAGAACCGTTCATCAAAACATTACCATAGAGTATTTATAGAAAAGGCACAAGGAAACTAATTTACGATTGTGGTAAAATGACTGAAAACATGAGGCCATATCAGAACCAATAATATTAGAGATATTTAGATTTTATCAAGTTAAGGAACGTCAACCCTGGTCAACACCTAGATGGGTAACCACTTGAGAATAACATGTGCCGTTAGCATCGATGTTCGTACGGTGTAATTCATAACGGCTTATAATTGACTTTTTAAATCAATTCATCACATAAAAGGGGATAATGTGTGATAGTGGAACACACCTATTCTATAGTTAATAGACTCTCCAACCTATAATAAGTAGGAGTAGTAGCAGTCGCGAAGTCGCTCAGGGAGTTGGTCCGAGTTCAGTCTAAAGTTGGACGGCCGGCTGACCGGTTGAACTGCCTTCGAGCAGGGAGGAACCCGAACGAGGCTACGCCGAAGTGCGGATTCTCTTTCGGGGAGGTAAACCGACCCTGAACCCGTTTATACGGGTTCAATGGACATATTTTTGACCGAGACCATGGGCTCGGAGATCCCACGTTAAACTGGCCTTTTGCCAGATGATGCCCTCGTGGCGGGGGGGTGACTAAATATTCTCAGGAATTGGTCAGTCAGTCGATGCCGGACGACCGTTAGTCGGATACTAAAGTATCAGCGACCTCCACTAGATTTCTCTGCGTCATTTCGTATTATATCAAGTTCCTAACGTTTTGTACGTCGAACCTATTTTAGGACCGACTTAGTACAACTACGAGCCTCCACAGTAAAACTACTCTACAACATAATGCAACAAAGAAGCAAGGACTACTGGGAAGGAACGATAATGTTAAGAACGAAACTCAACCCTAAACAACTGTTCAGAAGTCGGGGGAGGTGTGTGAACCGGGCGATAACCTATTCTCTCTATTTCTATTCAGGAAAAAAATAGCAAGTAAAATTTCAGATTTTAGGTGGCGATGTCAGAAGTATAAAGTTGATCTCGACTTTAGAAGGCAGCAGAACCCAATCCTAAGCAGGAAACAAGGGATAAACCTGTTCAAGAGACTGGAGAAGAGTGTCAAACCGGCGATAGGTGAACCTATCCAGAAGAACCGAGTTCAAATTCCAGTCGAGTTCGTTATATTTTTTGTATATAAAAATATATACCATAGGAAAGAACTCGTTAGGTAAATAATCCAAAGTTCTTTAGTATTTTGGTTATTATTTTTGAAAAAACAGTGCTCGATACAAAAGTAGAGCATAAATATAATTATCGTTACATAAGAGTTCTCATATTTCAAAACAAGAGCCGAAGATGGAACAGAGCTTAGCACTTTATTTTTATTTAATTCAAATAATTATACTGAAGTTTTCGACTCCTGTTTTGAAACATGAGAACTCTTATGTAGCGTGTTGGAATCATATAGTAACCCAAATCTTCCACCTCGCTAGTAGGTCTGGTATAAGTAAATCATTATTATCTGCCAGAATTCTTGTAATTTAAACAAATATTTTCTGGTTTTAAATAAATTTCAAACGGTTGATAAGCCGTAAAAAAAAAGAAATTCAATCTTCTTTAATTAACATCTACTCAGCTACGACACTCAAAGCATTTAATGTATTAGTGTATATCGATCAGATTCTTAGAGACGGCGTTAGCTAAAATTTATAGTCGGCCAACGCAGCGTAAAGTTAATAAATAATATGAAGTGTATGGCAGGTGGATTGGAACAGGCCCCAAATTTCCGAATTTCTTTACTATTCTAGCTTAACGGCACACCACTTTGCACGGACATGGAGGGGCACCAGACGATTTTCGGCCAAACATTTGTGTCCACGATACAGCTCACAATCACATGTGACGAAACCATTAGCTCCCTAGGGGCACCACACGTACCTACGAGACGGAGCCCAACCATCTTCATCTATCCTGGTTTGAATTCATAGTCATTTTCTTCTCCTAGACTGGTTGCCAGCCAATGCTGTGTGATCCAGTCTGTCCGGCTATTTACACATAGCTGGGAGAAGAAGAGATGGACATACTTTTCCCAAGGGTCTTGACTGGAGTTCGAACTCGCGTCTCTATTTCTCATCCCGGGCCAGTATCCATTAAACCACTTCGAATGCAACATTGCAGCTGCTGGATATATAAGTGTGCATTTATTCTTTTATTGTGTTTCTCAAAATAAAAAATACTACGACGATCCCATGACAACATAAGAGTCCTCAGTTTTAAGGCTCGGTTGCAGAAACTTTGAAAATACACTGCCCCCTGGAACAATTCTCTACTTAGGGTCCTCTATGATTGTAAGGAAAGAGGGGGGTATATAGACATGTCTTTTCAGATAGCCTAAGAGAAAAAATCACAACGTGTTAAGTCAGGTGAAAGTGGTGGCTATTTCAACAGTACTTTGTCGTTATCACCGGCACGTTCGAACTATCTTCCTGGTAGATTCTCATTGAGATAAATCCTCACTGAAGCGCTAGAGATTGTTACGCAAGACATGCTACTGCGTGTTTGACATGAGCTGCCTTAACACTTTTACGTCGCAGGTGGTGCACATATTGTACATTTGTGAAATCGATTCTAAAATCTCAATCAGGTCAAATTTGCAAAAAAAAAAGATCTACAATTTTTTGTTAAATGGTGCAAGGAATGGCTTGTTAATTTTAACGCCACCAAAGTGAAACTGCTACCTATTAATCGTCTGAAAGAGCAATTTTATCTTATGGATGATGCTAACCTCAAGGAGGGTGATTCATTGCGTCTTTTTCGGACTAACGTTTTTCGCAAACTTGAACACCTCCAAATAGTATCAATTTTTGTGGTGTGGGGGCAACCTCTATATTGAAGTGACGTTTAGTTTAATTCATACATTCGTCATCACAACTAGTTCTAGAAATAGGAAATAAATAATAGTATCCCTAAATAATAAGGGTTAAGGCCATATAGCGTTAAAGCACAGGTACACATACGATCACCAAAATTAAGACTGTTCAGTTCCTAGATGGGTGTCCGCATGGGAATACCAAGTGCTGCAAGCTTGGATGTCCAGCGAGTATGGCTTACGGCAGTATCACGTTGAAATGTCGGTTCTCGTACGATCATTGAAGTTAAGCAACGTTGAGCCTATTCAGTACCTACATGGGTGAGCACATGGGAATACCAAGAGCTGCAAGCTTGGATGTCCAGCGAGTATGGCTTACGGCAGTATCACGTTGAAATGTCGGTTCTCGTACGATCATTGAAGTTAAGCAACGTTGAGCCTATTCAGTACCTACATGGGTGAGCACATGGGGAATACCAAGAGCTTTTTTGGATGTCCAGCGAGTATGGCTTACGGCAGTATCACGTTGAAATGTCGGTCCTCGTACGATCATTGAAGTTAAGCAACGTTGAGCCTATTCAGTTTTACATGGGTGATTGTAAAAGAAAACCAAGAGCTTCAAGCTTGGATGTCCAGCGAGTATGGCTTACGGCAGTATCACGTTGGAATGTCGGTTCTCGTACGAACATTGAAGTTAAGCAACGTTGAGCCTATTCAGTATGACATGGGTGTCCGCATTCTTTTTTAAACCAAAATGCAAGCTTGATGTCCAGCGAGTATGGCTTACGGCAGAATCACGTTGAAATGCCGGTTCTCGTACGAACATTGAAGTTAAGCAACGTTGAGCCTATTCAGTACCTACATGGGTGAGCACATGAGAATACCAAGAGCTGCAAGCTTGGATGTCCAGCGAGTATGGCTTACGGCAGAATCACGTTGAAATGCCGGTTCTCGTACGAACATTGAAGTTAAGCAACGTTGAGCCTATTAGTACCTACATGGGTGAGCACATGGGAATACCAAGAGCTGCAAGCTTGGATGTCCATTAGTATGGCTTACGGCAGTATCACGTTGAAATGCTGGTTCTCGTACGAACATTGAAGTTAAGCAACGTTGAGCCTATTCAGTACCTACATGGGTGAGCACATGAGAATACCAAGAGCTTCAAGCTTGTATGTCCAGCGAGTATGGCTTACGGCAGTATCACGTTGGAATGTCGGTTCTCGTACGAACATTGAAGTTAAGCAACGTTGAGCCTATTCAGTACCTACATGGGTGAGCACATGAGAATACCAAGAGCTTCAAGTTTGGATGTCCAGCGAGTAACGGCAGTATCACGTTGGAATGTCGGTTCTCGTACGAACATTGAAGTTAAGCAACGTTGAGCCTATTCAGTACCTACATGGGTGTCCGCATGGGAATACCAAGAGCTGCAAGCTTGGATGTCCAGCGAGTATGGCTTACGGCAGAATCACGTTGAAATGCCGCTTCACGTACGATCATTGAATTTAAGCAACATCGAGACTGTTTCGCACCTAGATGGGTGACCACTTGGTAATACCAAGAACTGTAAGCTTAAATGTTCAGCTAGTATGGCTTACGGCAATATCATCATTCAAATTCCGGTTCTCGTACGATCATTGAAGTTAAGCAACGATGTACTAGATGGGTGACCGCTTGGTAATACCAAGTGCTGTAAGCTTAGTAGTGCAGCTGGCATGGAAGACGGCCATATCACATTGAAATATGGAAGTTAAGAATCATCAAGCCTTGTCAATACCTAGATGTAGGACCACGTGGCATTCAAGATGATGTAAGTTTGGATGTGCGGGTGGTGTAATGGATAATGGTTCAGAATTTTTAACCAGAGATCCGAGTTTCAGTTCCCGCTAGATTCGTTATATTCACTTACCAGAGAGAAAGTCATGAATGCATTTCCATTCCCCCAACTAAGGGTTAACTTGTAAAATACATTGCAAAAACATTATTATCTCCCCATCAAAAGAAATCTAAAAACATTTTCTGGCTTTAAATAACCTGTAAAAAGTTTGATCAGCCGTAACAAAACAATCTGTGAACGAGAAAGAAGAGCTGTAATTAAAAAGATATACAGCTGATGGTAAAATATTGTTACAGTTTTTTGTGTATGTGGTATGTAACTAGTGAGTTAGTCAAAATGACTTAACTCCCTTTATAGTCTACCAATAGAAGGTTAACCAATCAGACGCCGCAGATTATTGTATCCGTCGTGTATAAAGGTGGCCATTTTTGTTTACCCTACCCGAAAGACCAGTGCCAACTTGTCCGGCGAAGATGACAGAAAGAAGAACTCCGCTTTCCTACTTTGCTCCGAAATATTCACTGCTAACCTCTGGATTCTATACTCGAAACGACCGTCAAAATGTCTAACAAACATTACCCTGGGGAAGATAATGTTAGGGCCCCAGGTAAGTATGTCCGCAATACTCAACAGATAACGAAGAATATAGATATAATCGCAGTTTGGGTTTATTTCTAATGTCAGCTTGCTTTAGGAATACGCTAATGCTTTCTACTTACATATGTAAACAGAAGTAACAAACCAATATGCAAATTACATAATATGGAAATACCGAAATAAGACAGTTCCAACAATTTAGATATCTGGAAGGAAATTATCGTTAGAAACAAAAGTAAAATGTACTGAGCTGTTATGTAATATCAGTCCCCCTATATAGTAGTGAATGCTGAACAATCTCCTCGCAGATGAAGAAGAGAGTTCAAGCAACAGAAACAAAGAGTACAGAAATTTTATTTAATATCAGCTCTCCTCTGTAGCAGTGAATACTGGACAATTCTCCTCACAGAAGAAGAAGCGATTTGAAGTAATAGAAACAAAGGAAAGCGTACTGAACTGTTATGTAATATCATTGCTAATATATGGTAGTGAATGCTGAACAATCTCCTCGCAGATGAAGAAGAGACTTGAAGCAACAGAAACAAAGAAGAGTACAGAAATGTTATGTAATATCAGTCGTCCTATATAGCAGCGAATACTCCTCACAGAGGAAGAAGAGATCTGAATCAACAAAGAAAAGTGTCTTGAATGCATATGAAATAACATCCCACCTCTAAGGCAGTCAATGCTGGACAATTTCCTCACAGATGATGAAGAGACTTGATGCAACGGAAACAAAGAAAAGGTTACTCATCTGTAATGTATTATCAGTCTTCCTCTATGGCAGTGCTTGCTGGACAATCTCCTCACAGATGAAGAAAAAGACTTGAAGGAACAGAAATGCGTCTTGAGTGAGAGATGCTGGGAATACCATGGACCAATAATTTGAGCAACAACGAAGTTTTAGAGAATAAGAAAACAAAACGTATACTTATATTTAACATCAGGAAGGGACAGTTACAATTTACAGGGGCACAGAATGAGGAAAGAGAGCTTGGAAAATCTCAAACAGGATAGATTGCAGGCAAAAGGAACAGAGGAAAACAACGCATCACCTACCTAGCAAGCTTGAACGAATGGATGGTGTTATGGGGTCCACCCCTTTTTCATATAAGTGGACTCTACCAGTGTACCTGGACTGCTGCCGTTAAATACTGTCAGTGAGAGTAGTCGGATAGAGAGAGGATATACGAGAGAGAGAGAGAGAGAATGAGTTGGAGGAGTAAGTGTGAGGTAACCTCTTGTAGAAGTCAGTTACAAGCACGTAGACTCTAAGGAAGTCCTACTTCGAGACTGTATATATCTATCTGTATTTGCTACTAACCTCGTTCCTGGACTTACTAACAGTATTACTCTTTGTATGATTGTGTAAATACATTTTATTTCTTATATTTAATTATTGCGTTTGTCATTCCTTGGAGATCGAATTCATCTCGGAATCCACAACAGATGGCGAAGCAGATTTTGTGAGATATGACAAAAAGATAAAATTTTTTAAGAGCTACAATGCAACGGATATTGTGGAGGGTCATGTTCGCTAACGTCCTAAAGTGACATGGGCGCACAGATTAAGTGTTTTTACAATGTTTTTTAATATAAAGATAGCTAGCATTGGAAATTTGGTTTTTAAATACACTAAAATCTTATTTCTTTTAATCAAACAGCAGTCAACTTTGTCGTCTTTTTTTAAATGACGTCAAATACGTCGCATTCCGAAATATTCATAAAACAACAAATAAACTATTCCTGGATGGATATTCTTCTTCTCCTACATGACGTGGTCCCTTCAGAACGTTGGCGATAATGGCCCTCCACAATTTCCTGTCCTTTCCTCACCACTTGTAAAATCTACATTTTTGTTATATCGCCTAAAACCACTCTTATCTCCATCCATTTACTGAAGGTCGTTGGGTATTTTATGTGCCTTTTTGTCCTGTTCCTCTTGCCCTTAATCTGTCCTGTGAGTGTCAAATTTCCCAAGCCTTCTTTCCTCTTTATGCGCTGTAAGAATATCGACTTTCTCTTTCTGATGTTAAGTTTGCGTCGTTTTTTATTCCATTTTCTCTAAAGCTTGTAGTTACTACCATATTCGGGCTATGATATTCTCAGTATCCTTCTGTAGAACCAATTTCTGTTGTTTCAAGCCTCTTTTCATCTGTGAGAAAATCATCCAGCATTCACTGCCTTATATGATGACTAATATTACGTAACAGTTCAGTATTTTTTTTTTTTTCTAACGAAGTTTTCCTGTTTCTTAATATTTTGCTTAGCTTTTGTAAGGCATTTTTCGTCATCTTTTAAAATATTTTAGACATATTTAATTTTTTGTACTTGTTTAATATTGATATCGCCAAATTTGTAATTCACAGATTGGGTTTTTCCTTTTGCTGACAACAATGCAATCTGTTTTCTTTCAGCTGATGTTTAGTCCTTTCTTCTTGCTTTCTTTTATTACATTCTTTAAGAATTCATGTCGTTTCCTCTATGTGTCTGCTATCAACATTATGTCATCTGCATATTTTGTGGTGTTAAGATTGTGACCGCCAATAATGAATCCTGGTAGAATTCTCTCAGAATTATATCACGTGGGTAAATACAAGGATAGTTCTAAGACAGTTGCGTAGTAGATATTTGCATACCGGACAAATGCGTCCCTAGACATTTGCATCTCTAGACAAATGCGTCTCTAGACATTTGCGTCCCTAGACAAATGCGTCCCTGGATAATTGTGTACCTCTGATAATTTGTTGAAGCTTTTAAAGACAATTACCATAAATTTTGAAAAAAACATAGGTAATAACCATACATTTTTAAAAAGGGAATAAAAGAAAAAAAAATACAAATTTATTTTTGTTTAAGATACAATGACAGATTAACAATGTTTCTAGATCCCTCTACACATCGCCAGTATGTTA